TCTTTAAGTCATCTGTAAATTCCAATAATCAGTAAGATTTCCTGATAATAGACATAAACAAAGAAAATCATGTCAAGTTAACTTTATTTATAGTTGATATGGCCTCTAGTGTGTCATAGTTATGCAATTTTAGGGTTCATTAATCAAGTCTAATTGTCTGATCACGAGACATCATTTAATTGGCCAACATGTCCTCCAGACTGTCTGCGACTGTTTTATTTGAATTACCTGAGTTACTCTTTACTCTTCCTGATTCTTCTTCATATTTGCTGCCAGGGTATGTCCCTGAATTAGTATTTTTCAAAACTCACAGTCATTATGTAATGTTATGTGCCAAAAATGACCGTTTGTCCTCCGTTGGTCTAAACTCATGATTTTGAATATTGTGCTTTCTCATCGTAAAATAAAGATATTTAAGGGGAATTTTGTATGTTCATATTTTAGATAGCAATCTGTGTGTTTTAATTGATGTTGATACATAAACTTAAGGAACAGCAAAGGTACATTATTGCCAGACACTTACCTAATGAGGCTGAGATATCTGCAACTGAAAATCATTACTTTCCAGCAAAGGAATGGGTCAATGAGTACAAATGAGCAAAGAATAATAACGAAATCTTGAGAAATAAACATGCGAGAGGTGATCAATAAGTAATGGATGCTTTTTTACACAGATGCTTTTACTATTATTGTTACCTTATATATTTTTATACATTTTTTGTATTTTTTTTTAGTTTAGTTGGTGTAGTTTAGACATATAATTTACTATAGTTCTGACTAATGTAATCATGCTATGTCCATATAATATGTCAATAAAAGTTATATATATAGACCAATCCTTTCAATTTGCTTTCCAGTAATACATCATTCAATTATCTATCAACTCCGAATATTTGAAAACAAAACATGTAATATGTTTTGATGTATCTTTATTTCCGTGAAGGATGTGTAGGTACCCCGGGACCGACATGACGTCAAACATTCAGAAGCTATTTTAGCTTGTTTAACATGCAATGCAGTTGAATGCAGGCTGAACAAAACAAACCATTCATTATGGTCATGAATTACCCTATTGTCGGTCGCGGGGTACCTGTCTCTCCTTCACGGAAATAAGGATATATCAACATATATTACATATTTTGTAATTGATAGATAATTGAATGACGTATCACTGGTAGGAAAATCAAAGGGATTAGTCTATAAAAAGTATCTGAGTAAAAAAGCGTCCATTACTTATTGATCACCCCTCATACTTGAGTTTTACTTAAAAACACTACTAGTGATAATTAGAAAGCTAAAAAGAAAATATTTGAGAAAAAAAAAATTGGAAAACCAAACTTACATGTAACAGATTTGCCTCATAATTAAGCCTCTAGAGAATCCTACCCAAAGACATGCAATGATATAGAGCATTGACCAGATAATAATCAAATTATGAGAATTTTTTCATGTGGATTTGTATGGAGAATAGAGCCCTACAAGTATATTTATCCCTCGAGTATGTCCTCAAGTATGTTTTGTGTTTTAAACAAGTACTTGTTACTCTTATTAACGATGTACTTATTCCTACTTTGATGCATATCAATTGAACTGCAAAGGGGTTATATGATAATTCCTCTCTTATATCTCAAATATATGATATATTGACTAACTATCAAAGGTTTATTAACAGCCTTATATGATAATTCATCTCTTATATCTCAAATATATGATATATTGACTAACTATTAAGGGTTAATTGACAGCCTTATATGATAATTCCTCTCTTATATCTCAAATATATGATATATTTACTTAAACTATTAAGGGTTTATTTACAGCCCTATGCAGTCTGACAATGAACTTGCGTTTTGTTGTAAGTACTGAAAACAGATTTGTATGAAGATTCTATGAACCAAACACTTTCAATGCTAGCACTGGTTAGAAGTTCATTATGCATAAAATTCAAGATATAGATTAGGAAACAGGAAATGGACAAACATTGAAAATGGACACTGAAAAATAGGAAAGGGGAAATTGGAACTTTATCTTGCAGGACTCTTGCAGTTAAAAATCACATCCACAGCACACATAAGACAGAAAACTAATTAAAAAGATTTTCAAAAATGTATCCATGAGATTTGTAGCAAATTACACAGTTCACTGCGGTCCAAATACTAGGCACAAAAAATGTGCCAGCAAGAGTTGAATTCAATTATATTTTAATGATTTACTAAGCTCATAGGAAATTGAAAATCTCATTTAATCAATGTTTGGATTTAGATGCACATCATCTGCTAACAATATGCCCTGAGATTCCATCAAAGGGGAGCGATTTTCAATATGTAGCCAAAGAATCAATTACTTTTGCCTTGTTTTAATTATAAATGTTGATTAGCAATAGCTCACCAAGCAGGCTAAAAATGCAATAAATAATTTGTTATCTAACGTTGTTTATAGAAACACAGGAAATTTGAATAATAACTTCATTATCATAATTATCACTTCTTGATATTTTTGTTAACTTAAGCAACACTGTATGTTATGAAGCATGTATATGTAATACTGTATCCTGCAGAAGTGTTGTTTAACATTATAGAAGATAGCATGCAAGAGAATAACTAATCCAAACTGTTTCTGTCATATTTAGGATTTTATTTTGGAAAAATTGTCCATCTTTACTTCTATCAATAAATGAAAGAGAAAAAAAAATTATGTCATAACTGATACATGTTTCAGAGGATCCCCTTTAATTCTTTGGCAACATTAAACTTTAATTTGATCTTGATAGCTACATGTACCACCATAATAGAGTCAACAAACCAGGAAAATCAAGTTTTTTACGTTTTAATGTTTTCATGGAATTTTTTGAGATATGTAATGGTAATATTCTGCTTAATGAATGATGATGAAATATCATTGCATTAATTGTCTCTATGGTTACTGTATTTGTTTTATTATTTCACCTTAAACAAAAACATTATTCAAAGATAATGTGATAATAGAGAATTTTCGTTATAAGTTTTTTAAAAACTTATACATATACTTATACTTATAAACCCAATAAACAAGGTGTTTCATAATTTCCTAATTCGTCGGGAAATATCTCCTAGGACGGTAATAAAAAGGGCCAATGGCATACCATCCGTACCCCCTTGATGTAAAGCATGTTTAGTTGTGTCATATGTGTTTTCTAGAATCAAATAGGCTGATATAGCACACGGGTTTTACAGATTTATCTACTCACAAATATATTTTTTGTAGATTAGATGATCGTTTTGAATCACCTTGTAGAAATAACGAAGGGAGAATTAGTTCAGCTAATGAATGAGTCGAGCTGTTTGATTGGATACTATGCCTATTCAGCTGATTAATTTTAATAAGCCATTCTGGTCAGTACAGTGTAGGTCCACACATATACTATGCGGAGATCCAACTCTGTAAGTTTATAATCTGCGTATAAAGGCCCTTTTATATGTAAAAACTTAACAATTGACCTTATAATTTCATGAGAACTTTGAAATGATCGACTCGTTCGTGTAGTGATTCACTTTAAAGGGTCTTGTTTATCGTACACTACAAGGACCCGTCAACTAGCGTTTAGTTTATCGTGTTCATAATTGACACTAGCAAAAAGTTATGCCCCACTTGGTACAGATTATGAAAATCAATTTGAATTGATTTTAGTTTGACAAGACCCTTTAAACTATAAGTATACGTATAAGTTTTTGAAACAACTTATAACGAAGATTCTCTAATGTAATGATAAATATCTTATTCCTTCCAAAAATTCTCTTCCTGCAAAACATCATGGTATAGCAGATTAGGGAAGAATTGTTGTGATTACTAATTTTGAAAGAGTTTTTATTGACACAACTTTTAATCTACGATCAGGCCGAGGAAGCTTTCAACCAATCAATATCAAAATGATGATACATTATTGAATAACTATGATAAGCTGATTTAAGCTATGATTTATCCAATAATTACCCATGCCTAGTGTAACTAAAGTTTGAATTAAAAGTACTCATTGGAATAACACTTAAGGCATCCTTTACATGTATGTCTCTTGGACATTTAACAGCTTGAAAAGTTCATCCACAATTCAACACTTATTGGGAAGAGATAAATATATAAGCACCAGTAGCAAAGAGAAGAAGACTGGACGGTATTAGTAAAGCAGAGTTAGACAAGGCCTTAATGTGACAAAATCATGTGACCACCTTGTAAGTTATTGCAAAATGTTCTTTGTACCACAATACTTCACTCAATTCCTATTGAAATTTTACATTTTTTTAAATGGTGATACATTAAGTTTAAAATTTGATTTCTAATATAGATCCTGTCTATATTATTAATATTCATCATCACATACCCCTTAGTGTCATGATCTATTCTAACATACCAGTTATATGTAAATGAAATAAAATATTTCAAAATTAAATTATGTGTGACTTCATGTCTCCAAAACAAGACCATCCTTCTTCAAAGGACTTCATTTATGGTTAAATTCAGTATGGAAAGAGGTAAAACACCATTGAACCAACGACGAAACATTTAGACCCTTCAAATTGGCTTCTATAGGAGTTCATTCTGTGCTTTCATTTACTGTAACTCTGACTATAAAGAACATGTATTTATCTAGGCGCATAAGTTGTCAATCATTTAATAACTAAAAAGGTGAAATATGCAAATGGAGCTTAATGAACAAGTCTCATCTATTACACCTGTGTAAAGTAAATCTGTCTCATATTATGTCTGCATTCATAACATTTAAATAAATATGTCAATCAAATATCATCCAATATGAAAAAGTATGCATTAATAACAACACCTTTGAATATCTTAGCAGATTTTGATAAGTTATGATTTGTAAAGGAACTGACTCAAGAACTCAGGGAACTGCATTATTAACGATAAAGCATTATAAATAAACAGTGAGCATTATATAAAGTAATAAAGATGCGGCATATGTCTTAGTCTCTGTAATATCGTAACTTATATATTTTGTACCACTGCCAAATACGTCACAAAGCTGTTAATGAGTAGGAATACCAATATAGTATATCATGGCATAACACACATGTATACACACTCTTGCATATATACATGACAGCAGAATAAAATGTATTTATCACAACAAGAATATATATGTGTATAGAGAATGCATGGATTTTCATCATCTTATATAATAGTATACTAAATACAGTGGATCTTAACAAGGATGAATGATAGAAAACACTAATAAAGTAAGCATAATATTTTTACATATTAAAAAATCACTGAAATCAAAATGATGCATAGTTAATTATAGCAAGATTTTCAGATTATATCAGGTTTATACATATATAGTAGCCCGGACAGAATTGTTCAATGGTCACTTTTTCTTTAATAACTTTTTCAATTTTCAGTTCTATCAAAAACCGATCCCATATTTGAAAACTAGAGTAAAATTCTGACATACAAAAAAATTATTTAAGGAACATCTCTTAATTTATTAATATTATAGGCGTTCAAAGTATGAGTGACGCAAATACATAATTCATCATTTTGTCTCATATTTGTTCAAAAATAGCAGCATGTTTCGTGAATTTGAATGTTTAGTTGAAAGTCAATTTTAGAAAATGTCATATGCCTATAGGGTCATGCTGCCATCATTACATTTCTGATGGATCCATGAAATACAGCAACTGACCAATAATCAAATACAAGAAGTCAAACTCCCTGCAAATGACCTTGAACTCAGCTCTACTGCAATATATGGGAGCTGTGTTCATGAGGATGTGAAAAGGTGGCCCCCTAAAGTGCGGGGTGTGATGAGACTGAGATTAGGTCCCCAATATTTTCAAGAGGCCTAAACATCCATCTCAGAGGCCCTTGAAAAGCTCAAGAACAATTCACATGCATATAAAGATGGGCCGAGAGGCGTTTGACTAGAAAAGGCGTTAAAAACGATGTACGACGAAAGTACGACTCTAAAGCTGCACAGGTTAAACTGTAGGGGACACAATTGAATGGCCAAAAAACGTTGCCCTGCGACACTACCAATATACAGTACATACAATATATGAACTTTTTCAAGTATACATAAAATTCAATTTAAAACAATGGTTTTAAATGCACTCATTACCACATACCAAAGCAGCAGTCTACATGACTTCATAGGCCTATGACATTTCTTGAATATTAACTTTTTCAACTGAACATTCAAATTCATGAAACATGCAGCCATTTTTGAACGAATATGAGGCAAAATGATGAATTATGCATTTGCGTCACTCATTCCATAAACGCCAATAATATTTATAAAAGAAGAGATATTCCTTAAATAATTTTTTTGTATGTCAGAATTTTACTTTAGTTTTCAAATATGTGATTCGTTTTTGATAGAACTGAAAATTGAAAAAGTTATTAAAGAAAAAGTGACCATTGAACAATTCTGTCCGGGCTACTATGTATATATTGGATTTGAAGAAACTAGTTGCAACGAAATGAAGTCATCTTGTGTTTTTATTTAAATTTTATTATATGTATATATTGTATATAGATAGAATACTCAGTAGAATATAAAGGATCTGAATAGAGGAAGATTACTTATGAAAGACACTTATAGATAAAGCATGATACTTTGCATATTAATAACAATTAAATCACTGCTATTTAAATAATTTACTTATGCTAACAAGAGACAACTTACTACGTTTAATTAGTTTAATTCCCGCCATGAAGCATTTTAATTATTAGGTTAATAAAAAGTAAAGAGTATAATGAAGTACTGTAGAATTATAGTTGCATTTTACAATTACTTTGTATTTTTGTATTCACTAGTTTATTCTAAGTGTATTTTGTAGTGACTGATATGTCATTGTAATATCATAACATAGAATCAATTCAACTCTTAAAGGTATCTTTTAGGTATCGACTCTTTGGTGATAAGTTTATAACTATTATTTCAGGTTGATTTGTGCTTACTTCTTTCGATTTAACTAACTTTTTGTTTTCCTGGAATAGCACCATGTGTTTCTAAGTACAATTTTCAGGCAACAAGGCCACAGAAAGTCGTGATAGCACAAATGATAACGTCAATATCATAATTGTCCATATGGTCCATAAAATCTCTATTTCTTTCGATTTAACTAACTTAATGTTCCACTGTTTTCTTGGAATAGCACCATGTGTTTCTAAGGACAATTTTGAGGCAACAAGGCCACAGGAAAGTCGTGATTGCACAAATGATAACGTCAATATCATAATTGTACATGGTGTCCATAAAATCTCTACAATTACAGTAAAAAGTCTGTGTTAAGTGACTTTATGGACATCCTGTATAATTATGATCTACTGCTTAACAATTTTAATAATACATTGCAAAGAGATCTTATTATTAAAACATTTGGGTGGGCATTTTTAAATGAATACAGGTTCATCAAACAAAATCAGAAAGGTAGATATTTCATATATCTTGAAACTTTCATCATCAACAGAATAACTTCAAAACTAATATAATTTTTGTCTAGAACTAAGAGGATCATGCATTGTCAAGACAGATGTCTCATTGAATTTCAGGAAATCATTTTACTCTACAATTATCCCCGGTATTGTCAATTACTGAGATCAAAGGCATTTTTATTTGCCTATTTATTTTGTTTAACACACATTGGTTGCATTTGATGGATGTGTCTATGGATCTATGTATACAAAATAATAGGTTTACTTTTTCCTTTATGCCTGGCTACATTCATATATTTTCTGTGTGCAGTGTCTTGTGATTCTTGTCTTCCCCTTTTTGAACTTGTGGTTATACATTCCTCAACTGCCCTATCTTTGTCTCTAACTTGAAGGACACAGCTCAGCTGGTTAAAGCCTATCATGCTATGTATCTATTTATTAACATTGTGTCAAGCCCCAGGAGCCATTTGTGTTTATCAAGAATCACATTATAGTCAACGTGCAAAAACATAGATAATTCTTTTCAATACCTATCTTACAACTAACTTATATAGGTTCTTTTAGAACTACAGGAAATTGTGAAAAGGAAATAGTCGAGAGGCATTTAATAAAAGGAAAAGGCAATATTTAATATCAAAATTGTCAATGAATGTCTTCCTTCAGAATTGCATAGGTGATAAAAGTTTAAGTAGAATAAATATAAAAATCCTTAGATATCCTATAAATCTAGGGTTCTACTAGTCAGTAGGAACATACACTTTTATTCAAGCCTTAGCCTTAGGTTAGCAGGCAGATCAAATAGAAGATGACAATTTTTTGAACATGATTATTTCAATACAGTTTTTATTCCGTATTTGTAATTATATGAGTGCAGCATGCAATAAAAAAATTTGAAAATTAAGTTGTTTTTATTTAACTTTTTTGGAAGGGATGTCACAGCTTTATAAAGTAGCTAGAAGATTAAGTTAACTTTAAAATTCTAATAAAAGACAAACCTAAATATCAAAACTATAAACTAATCGTTAATGACACTTTTATCCTACTAGAAAAGGTTATATTGAGAAAATGAATGTGATACTATCATGGAAGTTATTGTAGTATTAACTTCAACATTTATTTATATTCTTGCATGCAACAAAACAGTATATCATGACAATAAAAAATATTCCTTTACAAATATGGCTTAAGCATCATACAGTAATTAATAGAAATTGTTAACTTAAAATAAAATACATGTACATACTTTTTCTTTTGGATGTATTCTGATTACAGTAAAATAAACTTTAAGTAGTAAGTCAAACTTGTTTAATTTCCCAGTGTTTTTAAATGAGATTACCATTTGAAATTTTAAAAATAGCAAACTAATAGTCATTTATCATGTAAATCCCCAATAAAAATAGTATATGTTCTTTCTTATTTAACATTTTGCTCTATTTCCAGTGAATACAATTCTACAGTTAAGATGAATTGCGGAAAAGAACTAGAAAATATTACTCATCAGTCAACTCAGGCTACTGGAGACCCTTACGCATACAAACAGATTCAGTATGTGGTTTACCGGTTTGGTCTTCCCCTTGTATGTGGATTTGGATTCTTGGGAAATGTCTTAAACTTGATCATATTGACTGGAAAGCGCATTCAACGTTCGCTTAAGAATATGGAACGATCTGCAAATATTTGTTTGATTGCATTAGCTTTTGCCGATGCAATGTTTTGCCTTTGTGCATTCCCAACAACATTTCTGCCACATGACAATAGCTTTGAAAATAAAGGATTTATGCTATATTACGGCATATACAGTGCTGCAATTATCAATATTTTTATCATGATCAGCACATGGCTAACTGTCAATCTAGCAACGGAAAGATATTTGGCGATATGTCATCCATTGAAGTCAAGGAAGATCATCACTTTAGGGAGAACAAAATTTGCCATTACATCCGTCTTCATTGTGTCGATCCTCTTCAATCTCCCAGTGTTTTGGAGATATGCGATTATAAGTGACACAGATGATCCATGTGTTAATGGAACTAATTATCGCATGGTTCAGATGGTTATTGGAAGTACAAAATTTGACCATGCTTACAGGGCCGTGTGGGCGATATTTGGAAATTTCATGCCATTAGTGATGTTGATATTTTTCAATGCTTGTCTCATGAGGAAAATACACCAATCAAAGATTAATCGTAAAAGACTTGCAGCTAATGCTCAAAGAGAGACTTCAAGTGAATCTGAGTCAAGCAATAGAGTGACCTTGACCCTGGTTGCCATTGTTGTGATGTTCTGTGTGCTTGTGGCTCCATCTGAGATAATAAAGCATTTGGCCTATATAATCGCAAATAACTTAGATGAGAATTACACTTATCTCACGATCGAAGTTGTAACAAACTTAATGCAAACGATCAATTTCAGTGCAAATTTCATTTTGTACTGTATTATAAATCGTTCATTTAGGCGGACTATGAAACACATGTTCTGTGGCCTCTGTACAAGGGATAAAAATAAACTCCACAGAATGACAAGTGTCACAAGTAGTTACAGTATGATTCGGACACAAAGTAGCGCATATAAATATGGAAGTCGCAGTAATAGCCCTCGGAGAAACAGTCAAAAACAATTTATTATGAACATCAATCTGAAAGCTCAAAATCGTCCACAGACTTACATAAAGGTGTCGAACGGTGAAAATTGGAAAGATGAATCTAATAGTCATCTTTAAGCATATTTGGATATACATACATGTGCTATGGGGAAACTTGTAAATACATACAAGTATATACTTAATTGATGTAGTAACTTTTTTAGTTTGTGATATTAGTGATTCATATATATGTATACTGATCACAGAGGTAATTTGTGGATATTATTATTGAAGTAAATAAAACAATACACATTAAATTACGTGAATTCTGCTTTTTGAATAGGTATTTGATAGAAATGTCTCTCTTAAATTTGATGAACATTTATTAAATAATTGCAACAATTATCTAGTCAGAAATTTAGTTTTATTAATAAATTATTGAAAAATAAAATAATATAAATACAATTAAAGTCACTGTTATATTGTTATTTATTTTTCAAAACCTATATGTTGACAATCAACTATAACAAGAGGCCACAAGAGTTTTTACTTTAGGATCTGTGAAAGATCATCCAATTTATTTAAAATTAGATAGACACATTAACAAAGCAAAAACTGATTTCACAATACACAACTAAATTTTGCCTATTTTCATATTTTACTACAAATAAAAAGTCACAGAATTTTTACTTTTAAACACTAAAACTACAAAGCCTTTGACTTGTTTATTATTATTATTATTAAAATATTTTATTATAGTGTCACTAGAGTTAAAAGTATACATACAATGTCAAATACAAAGTAAGCTAAAACACTACTAGCCAGTGTCAGCTTATGAGACAGTTACGTGTAGGTCCTTCTACAACCTGGAAAAATGTCCATTAAATAAATATACTGTTCTATAATATACAATTATTGCACTGTTCAAATATAATATCAGCATGTATTTAGAGTAAGCATTTTAAGTTGACTTGAATAAATATCTGTTGAGCAGGTGTTTTGATCATTTCAGACCCTCTCAATATTGAATTTCCTTTTTTGCCACATTTTAAATAGAGTTGAAGCCAATAAAGTTTGGATGTTTTTGTCATGCATAGGACTGATCAGTGTACACAGGCCATCATTTGAGTTAATGTTTATATTGGGGGCTGTTACTTTAACATTGTCATAAAACTCTTTCCTTATGTCCTTATAATGTTCACATTGAGTCAAAAAGTGTATCTCATCCTCAATACAATCATTATCACAGAGAATACATTTTCGTTCTTGCAGCGGTGTATTGTTCCATCTACCTGTCTCTATATTTAAGTGGAGACTTCCTGTTCGGAACTGGGCAAGTATTCTCCTGTGTTGTCTGGGCATTCTGTTTTTTTTAAGTACTGTTCAGTCACCACACCATATTTAAATTGACAGAATGTCCTAACTTTGTTTCCATTTGCTTCATTATTTTTGTCATCCCATGTTGGTTAGGAATGTGTCATTTTGATTCAGGTAATGTTTCAGTGTATTAAGAGCAAGTTTGGTTGAGACGTTTGTGCCATTTGTTATTGGGACTCCTCCTTTAACTAGTAACTGCTGTGTTTTATAGTTCCAGCTAGACTTTCTCTTTGTAGACCATAAATGTATTTTGTGATTTGTCCTGGTTCTATCCATATTGTGAAGCCTCAAGTAAAGTCTAGCACACTCAATATGTTGCTTATCGAGGAGAGATGACCAACCTAGGTCTCCCCTTACTGCCTCATTGCTAGTTTTTTGGCTCACCCCCAGGAACATCTTGCCAGCTCGGTTTTGGATGTTGTTCAGAGGTCTACATTCATGCAGACCCACAATAGAACAGCTGTAATTAATTATGGGCTGGACTAAGTTATCATACAGTTTGTTAAATACGTTGTAGTCCATACCTCAAATCGCCGTGGCTTTACTGGTAATTACCCCGAGGGCTCTGCTGGCTAATTTAGCTAGTTCCTTGACAGTTATGTTGGTGTCTACATTTTCATGAAGCCATATTCCCAAATACTTGTACCTTTCAGCATACTCAATGTTCATAGTCCCACAATGAAATACTGCATTTGATCTTGGGCAAGCCTGTGGGTGATAATGTACCACTTTAGTTTTGCTCTGGTTCATACTAATGCACCATTTGTAGCACCATTCATTAACCACATTGAGCATATGTTGTAGATTAGTTGAGGAATCTGCAATCAAGACAATTTCATCTGCATACAAGAGGACAGATACATCCATGCTATCAATTTTGATACCACAGTTTAGATTTTTCACATCAGTTGCCAAGTCATTGATATAGATGGCGAACAGGGTCGGAGACAAAACGCAACCCTCCTTACATCTTTTCTCTATGCTAAACATTGGTTTTAAATGGCTGTTAATTCTAACTGAAGAAGATACATCTTGATAAAGGGAACTAATAGCAGTACATATCTTGTCTTTTATGCAAATTTTGTTAAGTTTGTACCACAGACAGTCCCTGTTTACGCTACAGAATGCTTTGGTCATGTTGATATAGCATGTAAATGTACTTTGTTTTCCTGGCTTTCTATTGTTAATTATTGAATACAGAGAGCGCACTTTGTCAAGACATCCATGCTCAGGTCGGAACCCATTCTGTTCATCCACCAGGAGCTTATTTAATTCAAGATATTTGGACAGTCTCTTATTAAGCGTGTCACAGTAGACTTTACATGGAATTGAAATCAATGTTATGGCTCTTAATCTGCTGCAAGTGTTCATTATCATACTTTGGGTCATTAATGTTTTCAGCATATAGGGATCCATATATTTCAGCCCAGCTATCCAGTGTTTCCTGTTGACCACTTTTGATATTATTTTCAGAGTCAATAGTCGAATATGGTAAATCTTTTGTGCGTTCATTGGCGATTCCAGAAATTTCTGGAATTACTTTGATTATACAGATCTAATAGGTTTTGTTGTTCCTTCAGTTGATATGACCTTTTGTTCCAAGGATGGGAAAATCCATGTTTATAAATATTGCGGTAATCCAGTGATTGGGGTTAGGTTCAGCGGGACCAGAGTGCCTTCAAAGATGTGAGATCCTAATAACAGACGCTGAAGATGAATTGTTGATCGTTAATCTTTGTTTTTCTTCCCAGTTCGAATGGGAGATCTACTTCTAGGACATGTAGAACCGTTCCAAAATTGTTTCGTTCCGAAGCCAAATGTTCCGAACCGAACCAAACTGAACTGTTCCGACACCTCTTATAGAGAACCGTTTTTTTACAAAAGTAAGTTGAGTATATCCAAAGTCCTGTGTTCTCTAGACATATATGGGTGTTCACTAGAGAGAGGTGTTCACCAAGACAGGCTTTACCGTATATAGTAAAAACACAATTAAACAAGACAATAACGCCAAAACTCAAATGATCATATATTCTTCCCTCATGTCATTAGTTCCTATATTGTATTTAATTTTCCCAAGTTCCCCAAGTCAGACCTTTCGGAGGTTTTTAGTATTGTGAGAAATGAGGTCAGATTCAGATAATTTAGATTTGACATCATGATGTCACATGAATCATTCAAACAAGAACATTTATAGATCTAGTTAAGACACATGCTTTAGGAATTATATTTGTATGGCCAGCAAAAATTATAATATATATTATCAACTATAAACATTAGTTACATCTGAAAATCTCTTCAAAAATCAAAACATTTAAAAAAGATATGGTTTCAAAAATATTAATTTCTTTTGACAGCATTTGCCAGGGATACCCAATATAGACCCATGATGTTAACCAATCACTAAATGTAAAACACATTTTCTTGTATAGAAGAGAGGATAATATATTTTACAGAAAAATTATTTCAAATTGTAAAATCAAAATGATTAGATGATAATTGATCCACTTATCTCAATTTATGGTGAAGTATTAGTATGCTCTCACGATATCTGACCTGTGTTGGTAACCGATTGGCACGTGGTTAACCACCCTGCCACACTGCCAGGTTAGTGAATATTGAGCGCCATCTTTATTACAACAACAAAAATATTTATAAAAAAGATTCTGAAATTATGTGATGAGAGAACAATACTGACATCTTTTATTCACTTCCAAGTTCTCACTGCATGAAATATGGGATTCCAACTTTAGGCATATCTAGAAACTACGTCTAAGCATGCTGGGTAGACGTGCCAATTTTTTGACACCTTCACAGGCAGTCCAACTGTCCCGCAATTTACGTATTTTTCACCCATTTGCTGGAAAATTTGTTATGTTATGCAAATACAATTTTACCTGATAATTGTCAAGCAAAAATATATGTAGAAAACTACATGCATTTGTATAGGGCGATTTATACGAACAGGTTTCCCATTCGATTTTATATGCATTGCTTAATGTCGAACCTGTGTGGATCATCTAATACCCTGTCAGTACTTTCAAATGTTGACTTTTAAGTTTCATGATGCTTCAATAAGCAATATCCTTAACTTTGAATTTCTACTCAACTAAATGAAGATTTATCAGCATGCTCATGTTTAACCCAATGTCTAGTATATATTTTAACAGCTTCAAAAAGCCATTAAAATTAGATTCTGTTCATGAAATTCGAGACTTTTTTTATCAATATAATGTTTCAATTACCTGTAAAGACATATTAATAGGGTTCATAGTTGAAATCAGAATCTTCCTAATTACAAATCGTGTCATCAAAATCAGAGTGGTCAGTTCAAATGAAACATTAACAGGTATAAATCAAGTTTTCTTCCCTTTGGCCACTACTTTACACATTAAGTAGCATGTTAGATCGACCTTCTATTTCAGTAAATATGCATTTGGAGAACTTCAATATAGAATTCACTATACAGAATGAACTTATTTCAAAATTCCAGATCTCATTATCTATTTAGATATCTACTCCTGATATTTATAACATCTGTTCTAATCATAAACTTGAAAAGGTCAACTTTTTACAAATGTCTGGATTGGAAAATAAAAGTAAAAGGAGAGAATTTTGAAGATGGTAAGTTATGTATATTTTCATATATCACACATTTAGTTACTATCTGAAGCACTGGATTCATTGTATGTGTCAGTCTCCTGTTCTAAATTAAATTTGTTTTGCTTTCAAAAATGAAAATCATGATAAACCATAACAATTAATCCCAAGACAATCAAATTTGAAATTTTTTTTTCAGATGCTGACCGTTCTAATAACTTTGACTGTGGTGAGATATGTAGCTACAATGAAAAAGTTGAAAAACCAGGAAAATATTATCCGTTTCTCAAGAAAACTGTCAACTGTGTATCTATCATGGGGCGCATGGCACTCAATCCAGCAACACCAGTGTCTCCACCAAAAAGAATTCCGGATGAAATGTTTGATGCTTTTACTCAAAATGGTGCCCTTCTGATCAGAAAATATTGGTATATTAATAATACTGGCACTAACAAGCCTCAGCAGACCTTCACAGCAAATGCAATTGAACAGCTAATACAGGATGACAGGGATGGTATGATTATTGGAGGTTATGGAGTCCCTGAACCTAAAAAGGCAATCGCTAAATATATTGATGCTATTAAAAACAACTATGGAGTTGTGATCGGTTCTGTATCACCCTGGCTTGAAGCATTAGCCCTGTCTGCTGGTGCAAAACATATTACAACATTAGAATACAATAATCATTTGTTTCTCCATCCTAATATAACCAAAATCCATCCTTATGATATGGCTCACAGATACCGTAGTATTTCTTTCCTAGAGTTTGATTTTGCATTATCATTTTCATCAATTGAGCATTCAGGTCTGGGTCGCTATGGTGACCCTCTGAATCCCTATGGTGATCTAGAAGCTGTTGCACAAGTTTGGTGCATGCTCAAACCAGGGGGATTATTCATTCTAGGGATTCCTGAGACACATAGTGTGACATCTTGTATGGATTTTAATGCTCACAGAGTTTACGGATACAATAGACTCAAACATTTAACTGCAAATTTTGAGGTTCTGGATCATTTCCTGGCATTTCAAGGTGTTTGGGTATTAAAAAAATTGATATAAATAAAAAATAAAATTAACACAATATCAATTATTTCCATAATTATCTAAAAGGTTTTTCTATTGTTAAAACTAAGTGTGGTGAAATATCATGTTATCTTAATTTAAATTTGCCTCCTTTTTAGGATCCTGGTGACACCCCTGCCATTAAAATACCCAAACTTTTCACTAGGGTTAGCTCTGTTTTTCTAATTGAAATCAACAGTTCTGATATATGGTGAGATATAGGTCAATAATTCAAGTAACAAGGCAGTCATGTTTAAAAATATATTTGGGTTTATCAAAATGCATACAATTCTACTTAAATGGTTTAACATCAGGCTAGTAATGTAATTAATACATTGCTAAACAATTTCCCTTTGAGCAATACATCAAATGTTATCAGAACGCTCTGCGTCCCAGGATTATTTCCCTACTCAAACAATCAAATTGACCATAAAAAAGAAATGGTGCATCAAATTAAAGAGAAAAGCTCATGTTTTAGCCTTGTTGAAAATTCCTTGAAGAATTCTGTTTTGTTATACACATAGAATTGACTTAAATTTATTGCATATTTGTCTCTTTACATATACCATGAATTCCTGCATATACCATGTCAAAGTGCCAACAATGGGGCTATCTGTAATTAATCATAATCTAATGAAGCTTGAACTTCATAATTTTAAATAACATATTATAGAATTTATTGTTCCTAAAAAGTTGGCCGAGAGGGCTTGAGCGCCAGGACGTTTAGGCTAGGCGATTGGAGCCGTAACCATGAGGTTGCGAGTTCGAGACGCGTGTGCTCCTTGCGTTAATTCATTTCAAACGATGGAGAAAAAATTCAAAATTTATACTGATCCAAAATATCAATTTGAGACAAGGCATTCAAAACATGCAAAATGTCACGGATGGCAAATGCCAAACACCAACTGCCAACACAAAAATAGTTGGAGACTACATATAACAATATGCCAACACTTGTGATGGTAGCATAATATACCAGAAATGAGTTTCAGCAATGTTCTGAGAAAAAATCTTTACTCAAGTACGAGAAGGGGTAGATATCACCCGAGGATGTATTATCATATCTGAGGAGCGGGCAGGATATATTGTATATGTCCAGCTCCAGGCCAAATGCAGGCAGATATAATATATCCATCCCGCTCCCAGGAATTATTCAAAAGTTTAAAAAAGTTTCAAGTTTTAAATTTGAAAGTTAAAATTTTTTTTAAAAGTTTAAGTGTTATAATTTCATTGTATTGAACTAAAGGAATATTATGAAAATGTTATTTATAAATTCTGCTTTTACTATAGGCCTATTTTGTCATTTGAAAAAGGTGGAAAAGGTTATATCTACCTCAAACCAAAGTGATATTCAATATATCTTTACTTGTATCAATTTGAGACAATGCATTTAAAATGCTCAGAGCTTAAATTGATCCATCTCGTACTGTTGGAATATGTATGTTTTTTTAAAAATCACATATCTTAAGAAATAACTAATGAAGAGGTAAAAAATGTGTGTATCTCATACTTGAAAATTTGAAAATAAATTGTGGAAAAAAATTTGAAAATAAAAATTTGAAAAAAATTGTGGAAAAAATTTAAAAACAATTTTGAAAAAAATGTTGAAAAATAATTCTGAAAAAAAAATTATGCAAAAAATGTGAAAAAAAGTTTGACCCAAATTTTTTATTTTTTTTATTTTTGAATAAAAATTGAAAACAATTGAAAATGATAACATATTTTGCAAGGAAACACACCAGAGCATATGGGATTATTTCAAACCTCATCATCTATGGCATACAACAGTTATGCACGGTCGGTTTTGATACAGGAAATATCCCTTGGGATATACAATATGTCTTCCCTTGGTCCCTCGGGAAGATATATTGTATATCCCTCGGGATATTCCCTGTATCCAAAACCTCCAAGTGCATAACCCCTATGAATATAATGTATCATAGGAGGAGCGGGCAGGATATATTGTATATGTCCCGCTCCAGGACAAATGCAGGCAGATATAATATATCCATCTCGCTCCCGGAAATTATTCAAAAGTTTTAAAAAGTTTGAAATCTAAAATTTTGAAAGTTTAAAAGGACCTTATACACCCTCCATTGGGATCTCCCCATGGGAAAAAAATAATTCATCTGATTTTTCAAAATGAGTATTCTGCTTCAATTATTACATTTATATGCACACTAGTATCTTGTTGACCTATATTCAGCACTGTATTGATGTATAGGCCACTTATTAGGGTCATAATTCAATCATGAAGTGTAGAGGCATATGTTCCAAACCAGGAAGTATTTTTTGTGTCTGTCAAAATCCATTTACATCCTACGCATCCCTGCATCTTATCCAAATATATTACTACATAATGAAATATAATAGTATAATCTTTGGTTTTACAAACTTGTATGATATTTGATAAGTGTAAAAGATGTTTTTGGAGCATTTTTCTATAGCCATTTTGTAGGGAAAAAATGATGAAAAAATGTACAATCTTTTAATTTTAAGTATGACCTGAATCGATTGCAAACTTCATATTTGCACATTTGATGAGATAAACCATTTGTGTTGTATTGTGAAATTATTAAGTTTGCAATCGATTCAGGTCATAGTGTATTTTTGGTATTTCTGTGATAATCAATGGAAACCAATGGCCTCTATTGGGATCTGCTGATATCCTCATGTTAAGTCAATGGTGCATAGCCCCATGTGAGTCAGTACAACCTTATTGAACGAAATGATCCCTATCTCAGCTTATGTGTGTCCGATCACTTTAATATTTTCCAAAGTATTATATGACATTTTATTCTTCATGTTACACCTACGAATGATTCATTTTGACCATAGGGATATTTGCCAATAATTGCACCTTGTCCTTTTTTAAAAAGTTTAAATGTTACAATTTCATTGTATTGAACTAAAAGAATATTACGAAAATGTTCATTATAAATTGTGCTTTTACTATAGGCTTATTTTGTCATTTGAAAAGGTGGAAAGGGTTATATCTACACCAAACCCACTCAAGTATGAGATACACCGGTTATGCACGGTCAGTTTTGGATATAGGGTTTATCCCTCAAGAAATATTTATATATCCCCTTGGTCCCTGTGATCCCCGGGGAGATATAAATCCCTCAGGATATACCCAATATCCAAAACCTCCCAGTACATAACCCTTATATATGAAATCTTTTGAAAGTGATATTCAATATATCTTTACTTACATATTACAATTATATTTATTAATGATGCAATTAGAACACCTAAACTAAGTCTCAGTATGCGATTAAAACCACATAGACAATCACAGTATACAAAACCTTTCAATGGTATTGAACCCCAGTATAAGGATAAGTAAATGGATATATTGTGTTAATTGTATACTTACTTCATTTCAACTTAGTTAAACCCAGACCATTGTAATACATACCTGGAAATAGAAAAATAATCAAATTCAAACTCAGGTGACAATATACTGCGCTTTGTCCAATAGTATAATGACACCAACCATTGTCTAGTTCGTTGATAATTGAGTCATTTAATCCAAAGATCGCATTCAGTTTATAAACATTATTGTATCACATTTATTAGGAATCAAATCATGAATCATACAAATGGTCTGACATAACAAAGTTTCTCGATGTAGATATTATATGGATTACTTACTAAATAGAATTATCAAAATGTAATTAAACATTCAGTATATGAGTATTAAGACATTCAATTCAATTCCATTGTTTTCATGTGTAGTTAATTGAAAGTAGACATGTACTTTAAATAATAATGTAATAAGTCGAGGAGATTAGTGAGACTTCATACTTAGATGTCATAATTATTATGTGCAAAACGAAAATACATTAAATGGAGTCATATAATCATATTACATTCATACTCGTTTCAACTTCATACTCATATTACATTCATACTCATATGACATTCACACTTGTATTACATTAATACTCATTTTACATTCATACATACTTGTAATATATTTATACTCCTATTATGTTCATACTCGTATGATGTTTATACTTGTATTACATTCATAATTATAGTAAATTCATCCATACTTGTAATATATTCATACTCATATTACATTCATACTCGTACTATATTCATACTCATATTACATTCATACTCGTACTATATTCATACTCATATTACATTCATACTCATACTATATTCATACTCATATTACATTCATACTCATACTATATTCATATTCATATTACATTCATACTCGTACTATATTCATACTCGTATTATATTCAAACTCATATTATACTCATACTCGTATTACATTCATACTCGTACTATATTCATACTCATATTATACTCATACTCGTATTACATTCATACTCATACTATATTCATACTCGTATTATATTCATACTCGTAGTATATTCATACATACTTGTAATATATTTATACTTGTATTACATTCATACTCATTTTACATTCATGCTCGTATGACATTCATACTCATATCATATTACATTCATACTTACATTAAAATTCATAATCATATTACATAAATGCAATATCTTCTCCTACACATATCAGTATACATGTACAGAAAATACTCAAAACATTTTCTACAGCTATATTTAGTACAAGAACATTTAAGTTAATTGCAAATCTGTACTTCTTGTATTACATTTCACAATTTATGAGACACTAGAATACCCGGGGCTCACTTTACAATTAGTGTATTAAAGTCCATAAATTCACTTATAAAAGTTAAAGTAGCATCTTTGAAGTCTCTGAGTTACAATATTCTCTTATTAAAACAATGTACATGTATACTCCTCAGATTCAGATTAACAATACATTCACAGAATGATGTGTGCTTTTATATCAACCAATCATTGCCTTTGGAAGATACTGAGAAATTATACCAATTTGTTTGACAAACTATTTGAAAAAAACAAGACACAGAGTGAAAAGTATCGCACCCTTGAATAGAATATTTCAGGA